CATGGAGGGAAGGGGGGGGGGTCGGTCAAGGGGTGCTACATCCAGGGGGGATCCTGGAGGGATTCCTGGAGGGATCACGGGCTGCGTCCTGGAGGGATCACAGCGGGATCCTGGCAGGATTGTGGGCTGTTCCTGGTGGGACCACAGGGGGATTCCTGGAGGGATCACAGTGGGATTCCTGGAGGGATCATGGGGAGATTCCTGGAGGGATCATGGGCTGCGTCCTGGAGGGATCACAGGGGGATCCTGGTGGGACTGTGGGCTTCTTCCTAGTGGGATCAAGGAGGGGATTCCTGGAGGAATCATGGGGGGCTCTTGGTGGGATCACAGGGGGATTCCTGGAGGAATCACAGGGGAATCCTGGGGGGATCACAGTAGGATTCCAGAGGGGATCACGGGGAAATTCCTGGAGGGATCCTGGCAGGATCGCGGGCTGCTTCCTGGAGGGACCACAGGCGGATTCCTAGAGGAATCACAGGGGGATCCTGGCAGCATCATGGGCTGCTTCCTGGTGGGATCATGAGGGATCCTGGGGAGGGTCCTGGGTGGATCGTGGGAGTTCTGGTGCCGGGTGCCCCGGCCGGTCGCCCACCTGCAGGATCATGGGCTGCTTCCTGGTGGGATCATGGGGGGATTCCTGGAGGAATCATAGGGAGCTCCTGGCAGGATTGTGGGCTGCTTCCTGGTGGGATCATGAGGGATCCTGGGGAGGGTCCTGGGTGGATCGTGGGAGTTCTGGTGCCGGGTGCCCCGGCCGGTCGCCCATGGGCGCCCGCGCGCGTCCCCCGCAGATCGAGGAGATCTTCAGCAAGGCCGGGCACCCCTTCATGTGGACCGAGCACCTGGGCTACATCCTGACGTGCCCCTCGAACCTGGGCACGGGGCTGCGCGGCGGCGGGCACGTGCGCCTGCCCAAGCTGAGCCAGCACCCCCAGTTCGAGGCGGCGCTGGGCCGCCTGCGCCTGCAGAAACGCGGCACCGGTGCGTGGGGACACGGGGGGACAGGGGGGACACGGGGACATGGGGACCAGGAGGGCAGGGGGGAGCCCAGGAGGGAGCTGGGGGCACCAAGGAGGATGTAGGTGACACTGGGGACACCAAGGAGGATGTAGGTGACACGGGCAGGGCTGGCAGGGACCACTGAGGACCAATGGGCCATGGAGGACACAGGGGACATGGAGGCCACAAGGTCCACAGCAGGCCTGGAAAGCACAAGAGGCTGGAGGGGACATGGAGAACCCAGAGAGCACAGGAGGCTACAGGGGACATGGGTGACACAGGGGCCACATAGTCCATGGAGGATACAAGAGAGCCCTGGAGGCTACAGGGGACATAGGGGACACAGAGAAAACAGCACAGGGGACATAGGGGACATGGAGGCCACATGGGCCACAGAGGAGACCCCAGAGAGCACAGGAGGCTACAGGGGACAAGGGGGACACAGGGGCCACATTGCCCATGGAGGATACAAGAGAGCCCTGGAGGCTACAGGGGACATAGGGGACACAGAGAAAACAGCACAGGGGACATAGGGGACATGGAGGCCACATGGGCCACAGAAGACCTGGAGGGCACAGGACACTACGGGGCCACAAAGAGCACAGGAGGCTACAGGGGACAAGGGGGACACAGGGGCCACATAGTCCATGGAGGATACAAGAGAGCCCTGGAGGCTACAGGGGATGTAGGGGACACAGAGAAAACAGCACAGGGGACATAGGGGACATGGAGGCCACATGGGCCACAGAAGACCTGGAGGGCAGAGGACACTATGGGGCCACACAGAGCACAGGAGGCTACAGGGAACATGGGTGACCACAGGGCCCCCCATGGCCACACGCAGCCTCCTCCCCGGCGGCCGTGGGCGCCGTCTTCGACATCTCCAACGCCGACCGCCTGGGCTTCTCCGAGGTGGAGCAGGTGCAGATGGTGGTGGACGGCGTCAAGCTCATGGTGGAGATGGAGAAGAAGCTGGAGCAGAACCAGCCCATCGACGACATGATCCCGGCGCAGAAATAGGGCCCGCCCGGCCCCGCGGTGTCACCTCAATAAACGC